CTAGGTAAAAAAGGTGTTGCATCCGGGCCTGCATTCCAGTGCCTGGAGATTGCTTGGGAACTGCCACAGATCTTCCCATACCAGCGGGAGCCAATCACCCCAGATTCCATGTCTTCTCTTCCACCAACAAGACCAGGAAACCAGTGGATCCAGGTAAACAAGACACCTCATCCCTGAGTGATTTCCAGTGACTGGGGATGACCACAGAGCTTCCCATTCCAGTAGGAACCAAACATACCAGATCCCAAGTCTTCTCTCCACCAAGGAGACCAGGGGACCAGGTAAAAACAGGTCTTGCCTGGTGATAACCTGGGAAATACCACAGAGCTTCCCATCCCAGTGGGAGCCACTCACCTGAAATCCTAAGTCTTCTCTTCCACCAAAGGAACCAGAGGACCAGGTAGGAGGCAAAAACCCCCAAATTCCTGGTCTTCTTCTCAACCCATGGTACCAGAACTAGGGTGAGGAATAGAAGAACTACCAGAGTATTGGACTTGCTAGCACCCACTGAAAGGGAACTCTGGTCCCCTAACCACCAGACCAGTAAAGGGTTCTTTCTGCACCCACTAGAAGAAGAGATGGGAAAGAGAAAAACAAAAACATACTCAGCAACAGAAAAACAATACTGCCAGATTCTAGAGACTCCATACCAGCAAGACTCCAATATTACAATGGAAATGAAGCAGAAAAGAATGACCTTAAAAACAACTTCATGAAAATGATAGACGCCCTAAAAGAAGATATAGGAAAATCCCACAAAGAAATGGAAGAAAAAACAAACCAAAAAATACAAAAAACGGAAGAAAAAACAAAGCAAAAAAGGGCAGGAAATGGAAGAAAAAACAAACCAAAAAAAAGGGCAGGAAATGGAAGAAAAAGCAAACCAAAAATGCAAGAAATGGAAGATAGAACAAACCGAAAAATTAATAAAATGCAGCAAATTGACAAAAAGATGAACAAAAAAATTTCAAGAAACAATTCAAACAGTGCAACGGTTGAAAACTGAAGTAGAGACAATAAAAAAAACCACAATCTGAAGAAAGGCTGGAAATAGAAAAGCTGGCCAAATGGTCAGGTAACACCGATACAAGCATTACCAACACAATACAAGACATTGAATAGAGAATCCCAGGTGTTGAAGATACACTAGGAGAAATGGATTCAACAACCAAAGATAATGTTAAGTCCAACAAATACTTAACACAAAACATCCAGGAAATATGGGACACCATGAAAAGACCAAACCTAAGAATAGGTATAGAAGAAGGTGAAGAAAACCACCACAAATGGGAAGAAAACATATTCAACAAAATCATAGAAAAAAACTTTCCCCAGCCTAAAGAAAGAAATGCCAATGAAGGTACAAGAAGCCTACAGAACACCAAATAGAGTAGATCACAAAAAATTCCCCTAACCACATAATAATCAAGAATAAAGAATAAAGAAAGAATATTAAAAGCAGCTAAGGAAATAGGCCAAGTAACATATAAAGCCAAACCTATCAGAATTACACCTGACTTCTCCATGGAAACTCTGAAAGCAAGAAGGTCCTGGATAGATATTCTACCAACACTAAGAGATCATGGATGCCAGCCAAGACTACCATACCTGGCAAAGCTCTCAATCACTATAGATGGGGAAAACAAGAAATTCCATGGCAAAACTAGATTTAAGCAATACATATCCATTAACCCAGCCCTACAGAAAGTTCAGGAATGAAAACTCCAACCTAAGGAAATTAACTACAAAAAGAAAAACATAGGCATTAGATAATCCCACTTTACCAACAGGTAAAAGAACAAAGGGGTAAAATTCCACATATAATTCCACCAACAACAACCATTCCATATCAAAGAAGAATGAGCAACCAATGCTCATTAATATCCCTCAATATTAGTGGCCTTAACTTACCCATAAAAAGACACAGGCTAACAGAATGGATTCGATGACAGAACCTGTCCTTCTGCTGCATACAAGAAACACACCAATGCCTCAAAGACAGACATTAATTCAGAGTTAAGGGTTGGGAAAAGATTTTCCAATCAAATGGACCCAAGAAACAAGTGGGGATAATAATCCTAATATCTAACAATTTAGATTTCAAAATAAAATCAATCAAAAGAGATGAAGAAGGGCACTTCATACTCATCATAGGAGAAATGAACCAAGATGAAGTTCCAATTTTGATCAGCTATGCCCCAAATACAAAGGCACCCACATTCATAAAAGAATCAGTATTAAAACTCAAATCACATATAAAGCTTCACATACTTATAGTGGGAGTCTTCAAAACCCCACTTTCATCTCTAGACAGGAATAACAGGCAGAAGCTTAGCAAGGAATCAAAGGAAATATTAGAACTTATGACCCAGTTGGAATTAATATATATCTATAAAACATTCCACCAAAATAAAAAAGAATATACATAGCTGGGCTTTGGTGGCAGATGCCTTTAATCCCAGCACTTGGAAGGCAGAGGCAGGCATATCTCTATGAGCTCAAGGCCAGCCTGGTCTAAAGAGTGAGTTCCAGCACAATCTCCAAAACAATACAGAGAAACCCTGTCTCGAAAAATACAAACATACATGTGTCTGTGTGTGTGTGTCTTCTTCTCAGCGCCACATGGAACCTTTTCAAAAATCGACCACATACTTGGCAATATATCAAATCTCAACAGGTACAAAACAATCACAATAACTCCATGTACCTTATCAGAACACCATTCATTAAAATTAGACTTCAACAACAGCACAAATTGCAGAATACCTAAAAAATTCTGGAAGTTGAATAATGCCCAAATGCACCATTCCTGGGTCAATAAAGAAATAAAAAAAGAAATTAAAGACTTCCTAGAATTCCATGAGAATGATGACACAACATACCCAATCTTATGGAACACATTGAAAGCAGTGCTATGAGGAAAGCTCATAGCACTAAGTGCCCACATGAAGAAACTGGAAGATAGTTCCACTAGAGCATTAACAGCACACATGAAAGCTCTAGAACACAAAGAAGCAAATTGACCCAGGTGTGGTAGATGCCAGTAAATAATCAAATTGATGGCTGAAATCAATAAAGCAGAGACTAGGAAAACAACACCAAAAAAAATCAATGTAACGGAGAGTTGGTTGTTTGAGAAAATCAACAAGATAGACAAACCTTTATCCAAACTTACCAAACAACAGAGTGTGAACATGAAAATTAACAAAATCAGAAATGAAAAGGGGGATATAACAATGGACACTGAGGAAATCCATAGAATCATCAGGTCATACTTCAAAAACCTGTAATCCACAAAATTTGAAAATCTAAAGGAAATGGATAATTTTCTCGATAGATATCACTTGCCAAAATTAAATCAAGAACAGATAAGCAATTTAATAGACCTCTAAGGAAATAGAAGCAGTCATCAAATGTCTCCAAATTAAAAAAGCCCAGGGCCAGATGGCCTCAGTGCTAACTTCTACCAGAAATTCTTCTCAAAGTATTCCATGCAATAGAAGCAGAAGGGTCTTTGACAAACTCTTTCTACGAGGCTTAAATAACCTTGATCCCCAAAGGCACACAAAGACACAACTAAGAAGGAGAACTTCAGACCAATATGCCTCATGAATATTGATGCAAAATACTCAATAAAATACTGGCAAATCGCATTCAAGAACACATCACAAAACTCATCCACCATGATCAAGTAGGCTTCATCCCAGCCATGCAGGGTTGGTTCAACCTACAAAAATACATCAATGTAATCCACCATACAAACAAGCTGAGGAACAAAAATCACATAATCATCTCACTGGATCCTAAAAGAATTTCTTAAGATAATAAACTCAGTTTAGATTTCATTTAGAAAGCCAAGGGACATCATAGCCATAATAATCAGAAGTCTTGAAAATTGATATGTTTCATAACTTGATTGTTATTTTGTAATAACTTACAGTAATTTGGTCTGTACAATTTGTGCACATATAGACAAGTAGATGAATGGATCAATGCAACAACACAAAGAAACAGGAAATATATCTTACCCACACAGGATTTCTAAAGAAAAAATCAAAAAACAAAAAAAGAAAACACAGAGCACTAAATGGAGTGTAGAACTTTGTACTTACTATAGAATTTGTGGAGGCCTGTTATAGACAATTTTCCCACTGTGATTTCATATAAACAAATCTATTTTCCACTTCACACAGTGTGATTAAATGTTATATGAATATTTTTAAATATTGTTTGATAATTGTAAGCAAAACAGTTAAACTAGGAGCCATTAGAAACATTACTGAAATGGTTAAAACAGCTGAGTGCATCAGTATTCCACTGATGTGATTTCAAGATACATCAGAGAATCTGGTTAGACAGATTTTCATTTCTCTTACACATGGATTCAAGCCTTTGTGAGAAAAACAGGATACATTTTTACTGTCTGCTTCTCTCAGTTCTGATTTTAAAGAACATGTGCTGGAAAGTTGACAGAAGCTTTCACTCTTCTTTTTAAGTTCCAAATGATGGTACAATTCAGATTCCTTACAGGGAACAACTGTGTCTTTGGTTAAGACAAAAATGCATTGGTATTCCTAGTAATTGGAGTTGAGAGAAAGAACAGTAGTTAGGGTAAATATAGGACTCTATACCTTCTTGTGGATTCTACAAATCAATATAACTTGAGTTCTACAAAACCAAATGACTCTCCAATAGCTTTGAAAAATTCTGAAACATATGAGGAACAGTTTTGGAGCATGATCAGAAGTTACAGCTGGCCAGTCCAGGCTCTCACTTCTCTTTTCATGAGGTTTATGTTATGACTTGTATCACTGTGGAAGGGGTATTATAAGATTGCAGACAGAAATAAGATGCAATGTCTTCAGACTCAAGGCTGTTGATTGTGAGAGAATAATCTGTTCCAGACCCACTGCCACTGAACCTTGATGGGACCCCATCTGCCAATCTATCTGTATAATAGATCAGGAGCTGAGGAGCTTTCTCTGGTTTCTGCTGGTACCAGCTTAAATAATTGCTAATGCCCTGACTGGCCTTGCAAGTGATAGTCACTCGGTCTCCCAGAGATGCAGACATTGTGGATGGAGACTGGGTCATCTGGATATCACATCTGGCACCTAGGAATGGAGACATAATACATTCTCACTTCATTAAGCATAGGAAATGACCTCACCCAACATCTAATCAACACTAATCACAGCGTAACAGAAAAATTCCTATTTTTTCGTCTTTTTTCACCTGAAATCCAGAGCAAAAGGAGTACAAGAAGTTGAGCAGGGACCCTCATATCCATTCTGTGTCCTAACTGCAATGACAACTGCATAGGATGTGAATTGTATATGAGGAAGGTCTCAAGGCTAAGCAGTGTATGCATGCAAATTTTTGGAAATCAATTAGGGACAGACACAGCTGCTTGGCCTACTTATAACTAAGCACATATTCTGTTTTCTACATGCCTAAGGTGAAACCGCAAACATGCCACCAAAGACTGCAATACATTTTTTAAAGGTTTGACATCAGATGACATTTTGGAGATTATTTGAAACTTTCTGGTCTATCTTTGCTGTATTTTGAACTTTGTATCTCAAAGATATTTTGTGGAATATATTAATGGAAGAAGATCTGATATTTGTCAGAGAATGTGTAACAGAGAAGGGACAATACATATTTAACTCATTGAAATAATCCATATTGGATAAAAATTGTATATTCATGTTTTTTGTGTTTTCAGTATTTTCTTTAATTTAAAACAAAGAATTTTAAATGACAAAACAGCACCATTTTAATGAAATTCAGAAGGAATCCTTAACAGCCTTTGCTATGGTTATTGAAGTACAAAACAAGGAACCACACATTGGTGCACATATAATACCTTGATCACAACAAGATGCAAATCTTGGAGTTCTGCCTTCATATGAAGATGGAGGCACTTTCATAATCACAGACTACTAGAGTTGTACCTTTTGATGAGTTTAAGATCCTCCACATTAGGCCAGTGTTCTGCCATTTTCTGCCATCTCCAACAACTCCTCAGTTTAATGGCATTCTTGACTAGTAATGACACTTTAACAGAAAACAGTGTTACTCATTACATAACCATGCTCTGCATTGCAAATTACACTTTTAACTTTATCTCTTGAACAGTACCTTGAAACTTCATCCTGATTCAGCCTACATCCTCACTGTCTGCAAGGTCATGTCTGCGTGCAAACAAGCTAAGATGCAGAAATGCTTATGACTTCTTATACCACAAATATTTGAGCATCACAGATATCGCACCCATGTCTTTCCCTTGGCCCTCCATTGTTATTCATCATCATTGGGATATGTATAATCTATTCTGTCTTCAGTTCTGTTATCCTAGAGTGTGGGAATCCCTACAGTCTTTTAGAAACATAACTTTGGAAGGCCAGAGAGTGTTACACCTGAGCCCACCCCTGCTAATTTTCCAGATGCCTGGACTTGACTAATAGATGTGAGCAAACGCCTAGCCTTGATCAACTTCTTCAAGATACAAGACACCCACCACTGGGTACCACACAGCAGATTTTGGATAGATTAATAGTATTTCTAGCTTCTCGGCCTCTTTACTTCACTGTCTGTCTGCTGACAGACAGTAGCACTTCTGGGGTTTGAATTTTTATCATATGTCCTTTAATATACATATACATATATAGGGAATTAAAGAAACATTTGGCTTCCCTTCCACAATGGCCCATAGATTGAATTAAGTAATAAATGACTTGTTTCTTAACAAAGAGTGTGTTGATGCTACAGTAGTAAGGTTTCTTAAAAACTCCAACAAATTCTTTGGGAACTATAACATATTTATAGTATAATTATCAATAGGCACTATGATTTGTTTGTCTTCCTACTTTGTTGATTAACAAGTAGTTCAGAAGCCTTGAAGAGACTCAGTTTCCAAGTACTAGATTAACAGTTACATAGCCAGTTACAATTACTCAGCACAATGAACTTGACTCAAACAAGAGAGAAGTATTGTTCAGTAGAAGAAGCTATTGATAAAAAACTCCCTGTTCCAATAACTGCCAAAAAGATTTTTCTTCCAATGGGGTTCAACAGAGTGGCAGCACTTTAACATTGCTGACAGGAATAATTATTGAAATCTTTTCAAGCAATTTGTCAGGTATACCATATGCCAGGAAATAATGCCCAGTTTTAGAAATGAATCCTTGATTCTGCTCTTACTGAGCCAATAATTTCTTGTGGTTAGACCTTAATGCAAAATTCTATTTGAATTGATGGATTCCAGTGATTGTCAAAAGGACATTGTCTGCATTAAGCAATTCGAAAAGTTCCTGCACACTGGTGACATATTTATAGATTATGTGGCTATCTAGGTATTATTGTGAGGGATTATCTTTAGTAGGCTATCTGAATTGGGAACATTCACTTTGAATTTTAGAAGTATCTTACTATGGTTTCGCAGATACAAAGATCTCTGAGAGAGCATCTCTTGCTTCCCATTCTGCTTGCACTTGAATATTGCTGGTGATTCCATAATTCATGATGGCAAGTTCATAATCACTATCATTGTCCCTTCTATTGCCACTGCTATAGCCATAATTTACTGACACAATAATTGTGATTATTTGGAACTCCAAATTGTGTTTAAAACTAGCTGTTCTTTAGGAAATATTCAATCCATCTAATACCATGAGGGAACTATATCAAAACTCCAGGACTGAGCAACTACTGCTTTCTCTAGTTCTGCACTGTGAAGACAACCATTGTTGAATTCACATTGTTTAAGCAAATATAATGAATCCATTTATTTCTAAATATTTATTCAAAGACAAGAAATTTTTATCAAACAGGACTTTCATTGGCTTGCAAGAGTGTTGTCATTCTGGTTTAATATTAATCCAATTTGCCAATTGAATATAGGAGGGATACAGATTTTTTTAGTTAATTGTACATCCAGTCACATTACTAAAGGTATATATCAGATACAGAAGTTCCCTGGTATAACATTTATATTAACTTGTCATCTGAAAAACGTGATACTTTGAATTCTTTCCAATATATATATATATATATATATATATATATATATATATATACTTATCAATTATATCACCTTTTTTTCTCTTATTGTTCTTGATAGAAAACCAAATGCTATATTGAGAGATATGGAGAGAGTGGAAAACCTTGTCTCGTTCCTGGTTTTAGTGGAATTGCTTCGAATTTCTCTCCATTTAATTTGATTCTGGCTTTAGGCTTGCTGTAATTGCTGTCAGGAATTTCATCAGGAAGTGCTGTTGAATTATGACACTGGCTTCTACTGCGTCCAATGAAATAATCATGTGGGGTTTGTTTATTTCAGTTTGTTTTTTTTAATTTTTATTTTTAAATTTAAATTTAAATTAGAAACAAGGTTGCTTTACATGTCAATTCCAGGTCCTTCTCCCTTTCCCTCCCATTCTCCCTCGCCCTCCCAACAACCCCTCAATATCCCCTCATTTCCCCAGGGAGGATAAGGCCCACCATGGGGGTGTCCATAGTCTGTCATTTCATCCAGGGGAGGGCCTGACCGTCACCTAAGAGTCCAGGGTGAGAGTACATCACGCATTGGTGGATAGGAGCCCAAAGTCCACTTGTATACCTGGGATAAATACTGATCTACTAAACAAGGCCACATGGATTATTTAGGCCTCCTTACTGACACCCACGTTCAGGGGGTCTTGATCCAGTCCCATGCTGCAATCCCAGCCATAACTCTGGGATTCAAGAGCTAACCCTTGTCAGGGCAGCTGTTTCGGTGGGTTAAACCAGGCCAGTCTTAACCCCTTTTCTCATCAGTCCTCTCTCTCTGTCACTAGATTCCTTGAGTACGGCTCAGTATTTAGCTGGGGGAGTCTGCCTCTGCTTCCATCAGCCATTGAATGAAGGTTCTGTTTGCCAGACTCTCTTGCCATTGGATTGTAGGCTGGCCCTCCCCAGATCTATGTCTAAAATCCATATATGAGAGAGTACGTACCATGTTTCTCTTTTGGAGACTGGGTTACCTCACTCAGGATGGTTTCTTCTATTGCCATCCATTTGCCTGCAAATTAGGATTTTATTATTTTTTTCTGCTGAATAGTAATCCATTGTGTGAATGTACCACATTTTCTCTATGCACTCTTCTGTGGAGGGGCAACTAGGTTGCTTCCAACTTCTGGCTATTACAAATATTGCTTCTATGAACAGAGGGGAACAGACATCCTTATTTTATGAATGGACATCTTTTGGATATATGCTTAAGAGTAGAGTTGCTGGGTCTTATGGTAGTTTTATTCCCATTTTTCTGAGGAATCTCCATAGTGATTTCCAAAGTGGCTATACGAGTTGGCACTCCCACCAGCAATGGAGGAGTGTTCCCCTTTCTCCACATCCTCTCCAGCATAAATTGAAGTTGGTGTTTTTTATTTTAACCATTTTGACAGGCGTAAGATGATATCTCAGAGTTGTTTTGATTTACTTTGTAAATTTGGAGATCAGCCCTCAATCAGATGTGGGGTTAGTGAATATCTTTTCCCATTCTGTGGGCTCCCTTTTTGTCTTGCTGACTGTTTCTTTTGCCTTAGAGAAGCTTCTCAGTTTCAGGAGGTCCCATTTATTAATTGTTGACCTTAAGGTCTGTGCTACTGGTGTTATGTTCTGAAGGCTCTCTCCTATACCTATTCGTTCAAGGGTACCCCCCACTTCCTATTCTAAGATAATCAGTGCAGCTAGATTTATGTTGAGGTCTTTGATCCATTTAGACTTAAGTTTTGTACTTGGTGATAGACAAGGATCTATCCCCATTCTTCTCCATGCCAGTATCCAGTTATGCCAGCACCATTTATTAAAGATGCTTTAGTTTTTTCCATTGTATATTTTTAGCTTCTTTGTCGAAGTTCAGATGTTCATACATGTATGGATTAATATCAGGGTTTTCTATTCAATTCCATTGGTCTACCTGTCTATTTTTGAGCCAATAACAAACTGTTTTCAGGATTGCATCTCTTCAATGGAGCTTGAGGTCAGGTATAGTGATGCCTCCAGAAGTTGTTTGTTGAGTAAGGCTCTTTTGCATTTCCATACAAATTGATTATTTTTCTTTCAGGGTCTGTGAATTGTGCTGATATTTTAATGGGGATTGCATTGAATCTGTAGATTGCCTTTGGCAGGATTGCCATAACTTTTACTACATTGATCTTACCTATCCAAGAGCTTGGGAGAGCTTCCATTTTCTGAGGGCTTCTTTAATTTCTTTCTTTAAAGACTCATAAAGTTCTTGTGATGTAGGTCTTTCACTTGTTTGGTTAGCATTACCCCGAGGTATTTTATGTTGTTTGTGGAAATTGTAAAAGGGTGATATTTCTCTGATTT